GAGAGAGAGAGAGAGAGAGAGAGAGAGAGAGAGAGAGAGAGAGAGAGAGAGAGAGAGAGAGAGAGAGAGAGAGAGAGAGAATCAGAGGGCAAGCACACAGCATATATACAGCGTTGGCTGATCACAAACACACTCAGAAAACACAGCAAACAGTCTCAGAGTCTTAAGTTCTCAACTTCTCAGCAATCAGATCTCTGCGGAAAGTGAAGAGTTAAGAGACTGGCGCTGTGCAGGTCATCGTCAACAGCATTGAAAAAAAAGAACGATGGTGAGAGTATAACGGCTTCCCACAAACCACAGGTAAAGCAACTACCAGAATGGAAGGAAAAAAAACGGTCGTTGGTTTTCCCTCCTGTTTTCTTGCAAGCAAAGCTGCAGGTGGTCATCTAGAGCTAAATCATAGATTATGGCGCCTGTAGCTTCTAGCTAAGGAATGCATTGTCTATTTCTTCTCGTACTTGCTGATTCGTGGTTCTTGTGGACTTGGTCATTGTTGCAGGTGTACAAATATGTGGAGGGACTATGCTGGGTTCTGCGGTATTACTATCAAGGTGTCTGCTCTTGGAACTGGTATGTGCCATTTTCTGTTGTTCAAAGTTCTTTAATGTGTTACACGAGTCGCGTGAAGGGGGAAAATATGAGATTGGTGGTGAGGTGGGCACAGCAGGGCACAGGGAGTGCAGGCATGTGAAATGGGTTAGAGGTGGGAGTGGAACGATTGCAGGGGCAGGGGATAGAAGAGTGCAGAGCGAGGGGGGAGGGGGGAGGGTGATAGGTGTGGCATGCAGCCTTTTGTGTGGTATACAAGGGGAAGGAGGAGGAAGGAGATGCAGAAGAGAGGGTCGAAGATGATGGGGAAAGGGGTGAAGGGGGGCAGATGGAGGAGGGGGGGCATGTAGAAGGGGGAAAGAGGTGGTGGGTCAAATGGGGAGGGTGGTATCATGGGGATGGGGGACCAAGATAGTGTGAGGGTGGGGAAGAGGTAGGGCGGTGGAAGGAGGAGGATCGCTGAAGGAGTTTGAGAAGGTGGGGGATTGTGTGCTTGATGTCGCAAATGGGTTTCAAGAGCAAGTGTGCTATACAATGGGGAGAAGCAGGGCAGTCAAAACAAGGACTAAGGAACAGGAGGAGGACGATGAGGACGAGGAGGAGAAGGAGAGCAGCAGAAGCAGGAGGAGGAGGAGAAGGAGGAGGATGAGGATGAGGATGAGGTAAGGAAGAGCCGGAGTAGAGGGATGAAGAACCAGAAGAGGAGGAGATCCAACGTACCTGGAGGGGACAACATCAATCACTTCTATTATGTCGCTCGAGGACAACGGAAAGAGGGAATGATAAGCACATCACGCCAATGGGTTGGCAAGATACCAGAAGACGTTGTGACGATAATGGGATTGCAGCAGCAACATGGTGACATGACACCTTGCTGTAGGAAGTCGAATGATCGAAACCTCATACACCGGAAGGTTTCCTGTAAAATGAAATGTGGGCTCTCAAAGTAGGACTCCACCACCTCGTCCCAAAGCGACCCCCCGTGAATAAGAGTCTGAAGATTTTTTCTGCTCAACACAATACAACTGCTCCCTTTGCGAATCGAGGACAGCACCTCGTGGTCGTTGCTGAAATCCCCGCAGACCTCCTGCAACATTCTCAAGTCTGCACCGCTAAGCTCCTCAGTAGGCAACGACGCGCGAATGTCCTTATTATACTTCTGTGATCCTCTGTGATGATGAGCCCTCGCCAATGGTGTGATAGTGTGCCCGATTCGACCTATGGCCTCAGGACGGCCTGGAGAAGGTGTTAGCGTGCCCAATATTGTGTACAGGATCCGTGCAGATTTTGCACACGACCTTGATGAGCCTTCTGGACCCGGACAGGCCTATCCGGGCCGTTAGAAAAGCTGCGACAAGTGCTGACTCCTGAATGTCTGAGGAGACAATGATGTAAACCGTAGCTACTTCCGTCTAGGATGCATTGATTACAGTCGTGGTGCCAGAACGTTCTTAGTCTTTTGGCTGAACCAAAATCACATAAAACTCTTCTGCTGACGTTGCAGTACTCATTACAGGTCACTGAATATTCGCATTGAGCTGTTTTCCTTGGCCACATCTCACAAAAAGTATCAGTCATCCACTCTTGTTGCCCCCTCCCCACCTTTTTGTGTATGCTGCAGCTTTGTTTTTCTGTCATGTTGTTAATGTTCTATACACGGAGTTTCTATGTGTTGCTGACGATGTTTTCCCTCCTGTGCATCCATTTAATGCAGGTTTTATCCGTATCATTATGCGCCTTTTGCATCGGATCTGGTCAATTTGGATGAATTGGAAATCACCTTTTTCCTAGGGAAACCGTTTAAGCCATTTGATCAGCTCATGGGGGTGTTTCCTGCGGCCAGGTACAAGCTCTGCAACACCATTTGGCAAACTCCGCGTGGCATGATTGCATTTCTTCGGCTTTGAGCACAAAACATAAATCGTTGTGCGTGGCTGGTATCCTGTTGCCCACTTGTTTCTTGCTTTGTGAGGCTGTCTTCTTTGTTTTCGTAAGGCGCGTTTTCCTTTTTCGCATGGGAGCCCTGGTTCTTATGGTTGCAGTCAGATTATGAGTGTGCAATGCCACAAATTGTCTTTCGTTGGGGTTATTTGGATATGGTCCACCTGTCCAGTCAAACCTGGCAATAACTGAGCCGTGGAATCAAATTAAGAACATCATCAGTCCATCATGGCTTGAATTCTATTTTGTTCTTTCTCTCTCTCTTTGTCTTCTCACTTCTGTTGCTCTCTCTCTCTCTCTCTCTCTCTCTCTCTCTCTCTCTCTCTCTCTCTCTCTCTCTCTCTCTCTCTCTCTCAAAAACACATGCACCATGCAGTCTGCAGTCTATGTGGAGTCTATGTATCTCTGTATGGCCGTCTGTTTGTTTGCCTCTTTCTCTCTCTCTTTCTCTCCTTCTCTTACTCTGCTACTCGCTCGACTGCATGCCCTGCCTCCTGTCGCTACACCCCCTCCAACCACCACCTTCTTCATTCTCTCTCTGTCTCTCTCTCTGCCTGCCCCTTCTAATTCTTCATATGCGCAGTGCATTCAGCATATCTGTCTCCTCCTTTTACTCTACACCCCCTCCAACCACCACCAACTGTCTTCATTTTCTCTCTTTTTCTCGCTGCCTGCCCCTTCGAATTCTTCATATGCGCAGTGCATTCAGCATATGTGTCTCCTTCTTTTACTCTGCTACCCGCTCGACTGCGTGCCCCTCCTCCTGTCCTACACCCCCCTCCAACTACCACCGACCTTCTTCATTCTCTCTCTTTCTGTCTCTGCCTGCCCCTTCGAATTCTTCATATGCGCAGTGCATTCAGTATATAATTTCTTCTCCCGTATTTGGGAGCCTATCTGTTTGTTTGCTTTCCTTTTTGTTTCTCTCTCTCTCCTTTTCTTACTCTGCTACCCGTTCGACTGCATGCCCGTCCTCCTGTCCCTACACCCCTCCAACTACCACCGACCTTCTCCATTCTCTCTCTTTCTCTCTCTCTGCCTGCCCCTTGGAATTCTTCATATGCGCAGCGCATTCAGCGTATAATTTTTTCTCCCGTATTTGGGAGTTGGCAGTGCATTCAGCATATAAAGAAAGTTTAAGAAACCCTGCGGGTAAAAAAAAATTCATTTGTATGTTTGCTGACCTGTGGGCGCCGGTTTGATTCCATGCGTGCACGGACGAGGTCCAAAGCCGGAGAAGGTTCTGACTGTGCTCGAGTGCGGTAACCAGCCTGGAATGAGACCAGGAATGTGGAGAGCCTCGGGGCCTCCTTCTGTGAAGTTCTGGAAATTGTGAATATGGCTGTGTGCCCTGTTGGTCTAAAGTCATGTGCTGGATGGAGTGTGCAACAAACCGGCTGGATGGTGTGTTGTGTGTGTCTACGACAGTACAGCCATGCAGGGGTCGGGTGGCTATCTCGACCAGTATGACTCCACTTTTGTACACTGTGCGATGGCTGCAGTGGTTAAGAAACTCAGCTCTTGAGGCAAAATGCGCCGGTTCGATTCCGTGAGTGCACAGATAACTTTCTTCCCAATTCTACAGGACAAGAGTGCGTCCTTGGTGTGGCCTTCTTGCGATGTTTAGAGCCCTCCGCAATGTTCATTGAATAATTGTGTTGCACATATGTTTCATATGGTTTGTGTGCTTGCTGTCTTGCGTGTGCTTCCATGTGTGCCAGTTGGTATGGCGCTATCCATTTATTTTTCTGCCCATGGGTGAATGTAGTGCTGTCCATGAGTTAATTTTCCTGCCCATGGGTGAATTTGTGCTGTCTGATGTTCGGAGCTTCCATGTTTTCCAGCCCATATAGCACAGTCGTCGGTCGATGAATTGATTTTCTTACCATGGCGTGGGTGAATGTTTTCTTGCCTATTGTGTCGTCTTGCTGTTCTGTGTCAGTTCACATGCGTTGCCAAAGGCGTACCGGACTCTTATGTGCGATTCAACCTCACCGATCGCCGACTTTTATCCTCGAGGTTCTGATCTTCACCCCTCCGTAAAATTCTTCCCCTCCTCCCTCCCATCTATTATAGTGTGAAAATATCCACCTGGTTGTTGTGCAATGTGTCCATTTTTCCTCTTTGTCTATCTATATTTGGTGAAGGGTTTATCACCTTGTTCGGTACCTCTGGTGTGATGCGTTTGGCGCTTCTGCAGGTGCTTGTCAGCCCCCCTTTCCGTCCCCTCCTTTCTACTTGCCATTCTCCCTGGACTACTGTCTTCACCTGAATAGAACGCCCGGTCATTATAGCTGTATCTGGACTCGAAATTGTACCAGATATGGCTATAACGACCGGGCGTTCTATTCGGGTGAAGACGGTAGCTTCGTGTGCTTCCAAAGTTTCAATCACTGTTGCAGCGCAGGGCACCATCCAGTTATAAACTCAGTGTGGTTGTGCGCAATCCAAGTCACGCAACCTGCTGATGCAAACAACCGTGCTCGGTATCTCTGGTGGCAACGCGCCTGCCAAAGCCCCGTCCCCTCCCCCCTCTTCCTGTCCCCTCCTTCCTCCCTGCCGTTCTCCCTAGACCAGCTTCGTGTGCTTCCAAATTTTCAACCACTGTTGCAGCACACCGCATCATCCAGTTATAAACTCGTTGTGGTTGGCCGCAAATTCCCCCCGCAATGCAAGTGAGCGAACCTGCAGATGCGAATCCAAGGTCGTGGTCACGCTCTAAGATTTCTATGGCTGCATCTGACGATGGCTCTGCCATTTTTTTTCTGGAGAACTGGAGTAGCATCCTGGGTTGGTTGCCTACTGGGAAGCTTCTGTTCCAGCGCGTCTATGACAGTACCCACCTGAGTCGATCGATACCCGGGCTCTACAACAACCTGGGCTTGCAAAAAGAGAAAAAAAGTAGCATCCCAACGGGGAGACACGAAAAATTGTGTGTTTTTGTGACATTTCAGTTGCAGTGATTTAGGGCGGATGGTAGAGCTATACTGCAATTGCTTCTGTCCAGCATTAGTTGTCTGTGTGATGGTGATGTTGATTGAGCAATTTTCGGGAAAAAAAACAGTGGCAGAAGTAGGGCCTCCTTTCGCCTGTGTGAATGTTGATGTTGATTGAGCTCTTTTGCAAAAGAAAAGTGTTTTTTATTTATCTATTAATAATTGTTATATTAAAAAAAACTGGAAAACGGATCCAATGTCCCTTGAGTCCCATACGCACACAACACTGGCCCTCGTCATGGTAAAGGGCCCCTGAGACAGGGGCGCTTAGTATTGGTTACCTCCAATAAGAGGAAGGACGTACTACTGCTCCAGCTCTGCTTACCCTTCACTTGCCTATTCTACTTTCTGAGGGCATATACTCACACTAGCACTGAGTATGCCCTGAGAAAAGCAACCTTTCCCTCTCTTCCGAGTCGAAAAGACAGCTGCCACCATGGACTCCATGTGGGTAGCCCCTCTCAGACCACTGTTGTGCGCTGCTTGAATGGCTCTCTCTCTAGAAAAGGACTCTGGACGGTTTGGCCTCGAAACCGGGTTCAGCGTCTTTCACAGAGCCCCTCCTCAATTACTTTTTATTTTTTTTCTTGTTTGTTTAATTTGGACAATTTGTCGATTTATTCGTGTCACCCTTGCACAGGCACCGTGCTAATTTTCCATGTATTGTTCCAATTTTAACGGATATCGGGAAGGACAGCCCTCCTCAATTACAATATTGAACAAAAGTCTCTCTTTTTCCTGAAGCTGAAGATGCTCTAATCCCTTTTTTTTCTATCTTTGCCTTCATGAAATTTTTCCTACAAATAATTTGTACTTTGAAACTCATGCTTGCCGGTGCTCAGCAACCGGACTGATGCCCCCCAGAATGGAAGGGGCGGAGTTGTTGTTAAAAAAAATAAAATAATAAAATAAAATAAAATCATGAATAAATGGATTTTGGATTCAGTCTCTGAAGCGGGTTGTGCTTTTCACCGGCTGTCTTCCTTGCGTCGATGTTGACGTGTTTCCATTTCTTTTCCATTTCGTGTGCACAGATTTCAAGGTGGACATGAATGGCAAGAGGTATGCCTGGCAGGTAAGAACAATTGAGGTTATGGGCCTCACACCACTACACAACAGTCTACAATGCTCTACATGCATTTTGGATGGTAGAAAAAAAAGTAACTACAAAGTATTGGGTGAAACGTTCGTTACGTTGATCTGTCCAATCTATACTAAAGTGCCCACCACCGTACCGGGCAAGATGTCGTACATCATACGGCTTCGCAATGAATAACCTCATGATGGATGACTCCAATCAGGAAGTCGCCCGATATCATACAGTTACGACCTGGCGAGTCTCTTCGAGTGTCTCCAACCAGTCTGGCCAGACCTTTCTGCCTCTGCGATGAAATGTGGCTCGAAAGAGCGAGCTGGGAGACGGGATTTTGGCCGGACCTGGACCATACGCATTCAGACGAGTCTAAAATTTGAAAGTATCGGGTCCAGAAAGCGTCGACTTGTCGGAATGCATCTGATCTAGAAAGCGTCCACGTGTGTATAGAATGTCGTGTAGTGGGGGGTGAGGCCCGACGTCTGAAAGCGATGAACTTGCAGTTGCTTATTTTGAAAATCATCTGCTGCCAAATGCCAAACTGTTGGCCCCCTTTTCCTGTCATTTCTTCGTTTTTTCAACTTTTTTGCATTTTTTTTAATGTTTTTTTAACTTTGTCTCATGGCCTAACGTTAAGGTAGCTACTTTGCAGCGAGGTTATTGTGTGAAAGTGACAGGCATGCAACTGTTTGCTTATCCTGAAAACCATCTGCTTTAAAAATTAAAATCAACAACTGTCGGCGTCGGGCCATTTTTTTTTAACTTTGTCTCATGGCCTAACGTTAAGGTAGCTACCTTGCAGCGAGGTTATTGTGTGAAAGTGACAGGCATGCAACTGTTTGCTTATCCTGAAAACCATCTGCTTTAAAAATTAAAATCAACAACTGTTGGCGTCGGGCCATTTTTCCTTTAATTTCTTGAGATTTTTCACCTTCTGTTTTGAAGCGGTCAGGACCTAACAGTATGGTATCCAATACTATCCGTCAGGATTCTCATGACCTATTTGTCGAAGGGCAAGTGTGTGTAACCTTCGGCAGCCCATCCGGCAGGTACAGATTGTTGGGCTGCCAGTAGCTGAATGTGGTAGCTTTTGTGCTTGTTTTTGGCCCAATTGGATCTTGTGATTGATTTCAAAACTGGCGATCTTTTTGGTATCTGCCAGGATTGAAAGTCATGACCTATTTGCCGAAGGATAGGTGTTTGTAACCTTTCAACCCATTGTGCAGGTACAGACTGTTAGGCTGTCAGAAGCTGAATGTGGCCACTTTTGTACTGCCCCCCCCCCCCCCACCAAAGCTGGATCTTATCATTGATATCCAAAAAAAAAAAAAAAAAAAAAAAACCTGGATATCTGTTTGATGGAGTAGAAAGGTATAAGGGTCATCTTTAGATTGGTTGGATCTCTCGAGTGCTCGAAGGTAACGGGCTCGAAAACAACATAGTATCGGTCTTTCGAGTCCCCTCTCCCATCTTGTGACTAGTAAGAGTACTGCGTTCTGTGATTGTGTGTTTCCATTTTTTTTTAATAGAATTTTAAAAAATTTGGACCATTTCTCGATTTATGCGTGTCATCCTTGAAAGCGCAGGGGCCATGCTAATCTTCTCTTTCTCTCTGTATCGTTCCAATTTTAACGGATGTCCCGAAGGGCAGTGTGTTTCCGTTTTTTATGCTAAAATTCTTTTGACTTCCGTGTATCTCCTGCGCTTAAAATTTAGGGCCTACTGGTAGTTGCACTACTCGCCATCTGCCAAGACGTTGAGTGCGGATGGCGAGTGGCGCAACTAGGCCCTAAACCTCAGATGTTGTAAATGACTTCCTTGTGGTTTTCTTCTTTCTGGATTTTTTTCGCAGCTTAACGGTAGAGTCACTTGTAGTTGTTTGAAACATTCCTAATACTTTCTGTCACTTTCTGCGCTCCCTTCACAAGCTAAGAGGGAGTTTAAATACACTTCCGAGTTCCAAGTTCCAAGTTCCAAAAAATTTGGAACTAATATTATTCCTGCGAGCACTCCCAGGATAGGGGGAGTTTGAACCAGCAGTCCATCTGAAGAGGTAAATTGATGGACCAAAAAAGGCGTTTTGCCGGTCCCACAAGTGACTGATACCAGCTGGGGCATCATCCTCTGTATGGCCTCCCACAAACATTTTGGGGCTCGAAGTTAATTGTTCATCAGTTGCTCTACTGGCCCTCGTATGTGAGAGCGAATAGACTGTAGCTTCAGATGGACTGGTGGTTTACATACACACAAATGTCTAGCTAGCTTTGGAATTGCTTTCCTGCTTTCCTGCTTTGGAAAGAGAACACCGATACGTGCTTGTGCACCTGACCAGAAATATCACTCTGGACACATTTTCAGGCAGCTTTAGTGATCCAATTTTATGTTCCAGCGATGTGTGTTTGGCACTTTCTGCTTTTCACCTTCGATATAACGTCACCAACGTTGAGACTTGGGAGTAGCAGAGCAACTCATGATCTTGGGGGTTTCGTTTTGTGGCCCAGGGTGTTGCGTTGCTACCTTTTATCGACGAGCGGCGGCTATTGGCAGCCATCAAGACTGTCGAACCAACGCTAACGGTAAGCAATTCTGTCTGCCACTTTGCATCACAAGACCCTCACTCTACAATCTACATACCATTTCTCAACATCATCTCTGTTCGCTCGTTATGAATTCATTTCATTTGCATAGTCCACTCTGTTCTCAGGTTGCATTCCCTCCCTCTCCCTCCCCCCCTTTCCCCTCTCTCTCTCTCTCTCCCCCCCCCTTCCCTCTCTCTCTCTCTCTGTGTGGACTCCACGGTGGTATTGGTTGTCAAGCGCCTAAACAAGCATATTTGTCCTGCCTGATGCTGTAGCTTCGTGCTCTAGATTATTATAGAAATATAAGTAACCATTGTGCTATATGTCTGTTGCTCAGACCTTCGCTGTGGCTCTGTGCTCTCTCTCTCTCTCTCTCTCTCTCTCTCTCCTCCCATCTCTGTCTATCTCTGTCTCTTGCTCACTGCCGGTATATGCACCATGGCTGAGCGAGCCTTGGGCGCAAACGGAAGAGAGCTGAACTGTTGACACTCCTGATCCAAAATGGCTGAGGGGCAAATCTACTTAGTCCCGTGGTAGTGGAGATTTAGAAGGAGAGGTCCACAGCTCGGGAAATGCCTTGGTGCAAAAACTGTCGGAATTACTGGCAGCAACAATGAACTGGTACCCCGGAGGTCCAGGGTTGAGCCCTGATCTGTTACACTGACCCTGTCTGTCTGTCTGTCTCTTGCACACACACAATGTTGGATTGTCTCAACTGGGTGGACTACCGTCTTCACCCGAATAGAACGCCCGGTCATTATCGCTGCATCTGGATTGAATTCTGCGCGAAATACAGCTATGATGACTGGGCACTCTATTCAGGTGAAGACGGTAGGCTCTGTTGTGGTGGAAATCCAAAACACAGAATGTGTGGCTCTTCAGTCGTATTAGCTGCCCAACATCTTCACAATACTGGGCTCTCCAGTGATATCTGCGCTGCCGTCTCTTTGCCTGTTTTCTGAAAGAGAGCCGCGGCCTTTAGGTGACACGAGGGTTATTTCATTTATCTGGTTCCAGCTGGATTTGACAGCTACATGGGTGTACCATTCTATCGCATCGGTTGAGCGGTCGTGCTTCTGTCTCTCGGTAGTTTAAACTATAGGATACTAAGGATAGTAACTAACCGAATTAATTATGCTGACGTGCCTTATCGTTACTTTGTTTGCGTTCATCAGGATGAGGAGAGGCGGCGGAACAGTGTAATGTTTGAGCTATTATTTGTGTCTTGCAGTCATCCGTTAGCGTCGCAGATATTCTCATTATATGAAAGATACGGCCATCTGGATCAGGAGATGAAGGCGGAAATCAAGGAGGAAATGAATGTATTTGCAAGGTGAGTTTGTACAACTTTGTAGTGAAAATCATGATGACTGATTTGTATTGAATTGGTAGAACTGACTAGGCATGTTGTCACGCCTGACGAGGGGGGTATAAATTGGTTGTAATTTTGAACTGGGCTAAAGGGGTTCAAAGGGGGGTGCCTTGATGTGATACTGTTACGTTCTTTTTTATCTTCAGTTCCGTGAGGAATTCCGATGTGACCCTCAGACAAAAGTTGTTTGTATAGCAATTCTACGCAACACTAGGCTACTGGAGTGGCCGGGGACCACTTGCCCGGCTGGGCCAAAAAAAAAGGAAAAATAAATAAGTAAATGAATCATTATAAATGTATATTTTTAATTTTATTATTTTTTAATTTTATTTTTAATTTTAAATTTGACAAGGAATTTGGATGTGACCTGAGCCAAACGCTGTTCAGTTTGAAAGGAAAATGAGAGAGCGAAATTACATCAATCCAGAGTGCAAAATCACATTGAAAGCCATCAAGTCCAACGCTGTCCAGAAAGCAGAAATGCACTGAAATTCCACCAACGGAGAACCAAAACGCCAAATCGGAATGTCAATGAGAGCATACTCTCGCCACCACCGACATATGTATCCAGAGTCCTTCCTCCTACTTGGCGCTCTGCGCCCAGACTATGATCACACAGCTACTAGCAGCCTACGAATTGACAATGCATCCTGTTGACATCAACAGCAACAACCGAAGTACATGAAGATGTCGACCTTGTAGACTGTCACCAAGACCAGGTACGTGCCCTCACATCATCAACCTCATCTCTCTCTCTCTCTCACCCTCGACTTCATCACCCATGTCTTCTCCCTCTTACATGAAGACCACCACCACCTCCACTGGCTATGTCCAAGCCAAGCCCGGCTATTGGGGCTGGCTATGGCGCTGCCCTCAGCAGAGCCCTTCACCCTGCACGTCCGCGCGTGCACACAGCACCAGCGCTAACGCAGCAAGCAGCCCATGAGCGTTCGCTCCAGCAGCGCTGCCGCCCGCAAGTGCAAGTGCCCGGATGTCCAACTCGGAGCTCGGCCCTTTCCTATATGTAAAGCGGCGGGCGAATTGCCACTCGCTTGCCCCATGAGACCGAGTTTCGAATAGCTTCAGTCTTGGCCAAAGTGTTTCATTTGAAATCAATAAATCAATCAATAATAAATCCTATAGTATTAAAGACTACAATCATGAAAATACTATCATTTAATATACGAACAATTAGATTCTATTGTAATTATATGAATTATTATTAACTATTCTATTATATTGTTCATAGTAAATTAATAAAGAGATTCTCATGTATACAATATTCATATATACAAATAAATATATACTGCGCCCAGGCCCGTTCAAACAGTGGTCTTGGACTGCAGTGGTTAGTCATGCCCAACCACCCAGGAGGCACAAACGTGCGGTGCTCCCTGTTTCGACCACGTTGCTGGAAGAGCCTGTGAATGTATCTTTCCATATTCTAGCAGAGGATTCAATCTCATTTTGCACATTTGGAGAGAAGGCCCTATGACGTTCGGGATTTGAGCTTTGGTGCGTGGCTGCCCTGATGACAACAAAAAGAAAAGTGTCGCGCCAACAGCCAAAACACTCGGACAAAATGACAAAAAGCAAAACCGGCTGTAGTGGTGCACGGCAGTGCTATTCGAACTTCCGACCTGGCTATTTGGAGTTACATCTCATCTCCTTGCAGTGCAGAACGACAAAAAAAAAAAAAAAAGCAACATGGGGCAAATGAAAGGCCACGGTGCAAAATGACAACAGAACAAAGGAAGGCCCAGATACGCAGCATGATGATGCGAGCGTCACACCCTGGCCTTGTATTCGAGCGTGCGGCCGCTGAAAAACGACAAAAAAAAAAACTGGTCTTCCGTGCGGTTCCCCGTGGGACACTGCCCACCCTGTACCTCTCGCACGCCAGCGATTTTTGCTGGGTCCGGATGGCAGCGTCACCAGAGTGGTGTATATAGATAATCTTGAATTTGTGGTCCTCCACCTGCGCAAAATGATCACATACAATGTCTGAAGAAAAGTATTTTTGTATGTCCACTTTCGTTTCCTGTACTTGTCCTGGATGCCCGAATGGGCTAGATCCGTATTCCGGGCCCAGAACATCCAGCAGGATGGTGGGAACGGAAGGCCCGTGCTACCTAGATATTGGTAGTTCAATCGAGCGGATGGATTTGGATCGTACTTGGGAGGTGTTCAGTGTGTTGCCTTTTCTGTGCATCTCTGGGCTTCTCGAGACTTTGTTTGTTGGTTGCTTGGTTCATCGTATGTGGACAACCTTTCCTGACAGCATTTTTTTTTATTTTTTTTTAATGTTTTGCATCTTGTTTTTGGATGGCCATTGTTTTACTGACAATTATCAGTTCACCTTTGTTTGTTGATTGCTTGGTTCATCGTATGTGGACAACCTTTCCTGACAGCATTTTTTTTTTTTTTTATTTTTTTTTTGAATGTTTTGCATCTTGTTTTTGGATGGCCATTGTTTTACTGACAATTATCAGTTCACCTTCTGTTTCGGAACACACAACCTTGCTTTCTGCAGCGGCGGCATGAATGGGTACTTGCAACTGTGCGATGGCGAGGTCTGTCCGACAGTGTTCCACTCTCCAATCAGTTCACTGGAGGATATTGAACAGAACTCAGCATTGTAAGTGAGAGTCAATCAGAACATGGAAGCTGGCTGCACTGCAGCTCGACTTTCTACCCTATCTTTTCTTATCAGCTAATCGGAAGAAAATAAAAAAGTAACCACCTTCTTCACCACATTCCCCCCTTCTTCACCCCGTTCCCCCCGTTCCCCTCCCTCCCCTCCGCGTCCCCGTCCCTCCTTTTCAATATTGTCTACCTTAAGACAACGAGAGCGTTGAATAAGTCGTGTCTGTCTCGTTGTGGACTTCTACAACGTCTCATTTATTTGACATATTGATTGTACAAATGAGCAGTTCATACGGTGACTCAAACGGTCGCACCTTTCTTTTTTCATCAATCAAATCAAAGGCTAAGTAACATAAAGGTAATGTATTGGACTGCAAATCCACGAATGATGGTTCAAACTCGATTCATTTGTTTGAAACATGAACTGGAAGAAAAAAGGAAACCAGGGGAAATGTCAAGTGGTTCAAGGCAGAATAGTTTAGTAGGTTAGAACAGCGGAATCATAATTCGCATGTAGGGGGTTTGAATCCCTCTTCCGATTTGTCGACAAGTTTTAAATTTTGATACGCGCATTTTATTTATCTCAGTTTTTTTTTCATCAAATTGCAATTGCGGGTAACGGGAATCGAACCCATATCCCCTGCTTGGAAGGCAGACAATTTACCTTTAATCTATATCCGCTATGGGGTTGAACTTTTGCTCATTGTTTTATGTTGTCAGCAGCCAGGTGACCTTGAGCATATTTCCGAGTCCCTTTCTCGACTGACTTTTCTTAAACCACCAGTACCTCCATGTTTTTAGGCCGTTAACGCGGTGGCTGAATCGGTGCGGCGCACGGGTTCATATGCATTTGCATCGGAGCCTACCCTCAGGGGGCCTAAGACCGACCCCCTGGGGTACTGGTGGTTTAAACCAAAGGTACCCATCCCAGCTATCCCTGGCACACCCTGCTGTTATTACCCCGTTTAGCCGCATCGTTCTATTGGAGAGAAATGGCTTGCATTGGCCCGGTAGGCCTTGTCCGCGCAACAGTTCGCTACGCGTGAGGGGAAGGCCACGTCTCTTTTTTTTGTAAATTTTTATTATTAATAATTTGGACCATTTCTCGATTTTTATGCGTGTCATCCTTGATTGCGCAGGGGCCATGCTAATCTTTGTTCTCTTTGTATCGTTCCAATTTTAACGGATGTCCCGAAGGACAGGGGGGGAAGGCCACATCTACTTTTTGGGATTTTGGATTAATTATGAAACCAGTGTTTTATTACCAAAAAAAAAAACACTGCTTTGGGAAGCAAGAGGCTGGCAGGTACTGGTCGGCTCAAGTCGCTTACGTTCCTTTCACAAAATCCTCAAGTTCGTTTCACAAAATCCTTTCTGGTGTCCATATTAAAGCAAGCTGTGTTGAAAAAGTGATGGAGAACAGTGTGGACTCGTGGTCAGGACTCCCTGTAGGTGATCCCTTTTTTTGTTTGTATTGGCTTTTTCATTTGGATTGTAAATTGCTTCCCGCTCTCTATGTTCGGCGTGCTGACTGGAGCATGTCATTTCCAAGTTTCGTATCGAATCGACCTCTTTGTGTGCACAATCAAGTTTTCCGGTGTGTGGTTTCGAAGAATTCCGTAGCTTCGCCACTTTCATTATTTTCTGTCTGCCCTTCAGGTGAGGAAGGGCATTCTCGCAATAGTACCCCTTGAGATGCATGTATCTGCGTTCACAGCCAGATGCTCGCAGAACAGAGCAAGTGTGAGTATGGCCTTGAGACGTTAAAAAAAAATCCGAGTTCGGGTTCTTCGAGGTGCAGTGTTTGGACACTGGCATCTTCTGCTTGTAGTTCTTGTCTGTCGAGGTTCATATAACAAAACAGCCATCAATGTTTGATAATTAACTTCTAAATGAGATGGTTTGTTTTTTAAAATTCGGTTATATGAACTTATATCTTATATTTTGTTTGATGGCTGACTTGCAATTTTGTTGAATAGAAATAAGATCGCCACTGGAAATTTGAAAGCTAGGCCGAAGGATAATTTTGATTATTAATGTGCAATCTTGACTTTCCTTCTCCATTTGTTCCGTCACCCTCTTCTTTCTCTTCCTCTTCCTCTTCTCCTGCTGCTTCGTCTTGTGGTTTCCCGTCCTTTTGGTGGTGCTTCTTTTTCTTCTTTTTCCCCTTCGTGTTTGCGTCCTTTCTTCGCCTTTGCTATACTTCGCTTTACGTATTTTCTTTGAGGCGTCGTGCACATTTTTTAGCTGTGATAGATGGGCGTCTTTTCCAATTGCACATTGTAAATATACCTTGCACCTTGTGTTGTGCCGTCTCAGTAGCCTTTGTGCATGTCGAACATGTTGGATGCAGCAACAAATGGGGAGATGGGAATTTGCTGAGTCCGTGTCAGTAGCCTTTGTGCATGTTGAAGATGCTGGATGCAACAACAAATGGGAGATGGGAATTTGCTGAGTACGTTTTTTTTGTGTATGTGCCTGACGTCCATGCAGGTGTGTTGTGTACAAACCGCCCCCACACCATCGACATGTGTCGAAGCCGCCGGAAGGTGTCATCTTTCCAAATACGGTAGGTTTGAGAACTTTTGCCTCGGTCTCTCTGTTTTTACTGCAATGTATAACTGCCCAAAATTAATCAAGGCAACCCTATCGTCATCGATCACACTGCAAGGATCGCCAGCGCCAGGTAGAAAGAGGAAAAACACTCGGAAAACCAGAAGTATGACAGAGTTTTTCGTCTGCAGCTTGTATGTGGGTGCCACATCCAGATACTGCACTCGATCGTGTGCAGGGGAGGGGGGGTGGGGGATGCGCGGTTGGTTAGATTGGGTTCTCTCTCTCTCTCTCTCTCTCTCTCTCTCTCTCTCTCCCCCCAAATTGCAGTTGGTAAGGAACAAGGGACTTGCACTACACAAGGGACTTCCATCTCCCAACCACTGTGGTGGCTCCTGGACGCACTGTGTGAATTCACCTGTGTTGCAGACTGCAATCCCTTTCATATTTATCATGATCTTCCCCTTTGATTACCTTTTGCAAGGACAGTTGTTAACAGAATGCAATCATCACCTTCTGGATATGATTGGTTTCGGTTTCGGTTTCAAGTGCCGGGCATGATGCTTGGGGAGCATTTCCTTCCCCTCGAGAAATGGTACTGCTAGTCTGCTAACAACCATGTGTGCATTTTTCTTGCGAGGTGTGAAAAATGTGCCTAAATCTCTTGTGCACTTTTCCACTCCTTTTCTTTCTTAACAGACTATAACAGAAGGTGATGTCAAGGAGCCGGCTCCTCTATGGCATGAGGATCATGGCGGCAGAGGACGAGGGAGAGGGCAACCAATGGGTGCAAGGTTAGTTGTGTTCCTTTCAGTGTTTTCTCGTGGTGTCATCTGCCTGTCTGCCTATCTGGACTGGAAGTTGCCTCAA